GATGCTTGTCATCAGTGCTTATGCACTATGACAAGACATGTGAAGGTGAATGCACAACAACCTGTACACTAAGGAGACTTAAATATCGTCAAGGAAGTGTACCAGCAGGAGAACAGATATATTATCCTCTATTACACTGATACCCTGAGCAAATAGTAAACATTTTTGAGCAAGGAACTGTTTTGGAAAACACCCGAATACATCTTTCTAATAAAGGAAATTACAGAATTACATTATACTAAGTTGGTAAAAAAGGTTAGTAACTCATTTTTATGTTACTATGGCAGTTATTGATATGAATACTTTTTCAAATTTTGAAAAACTACAGTAAAGAAAATCGTGAAGTTGTAGTCTGACATTTTAGTAATATGTTCATTTGAATAAAACGTCGTTCCCCTCCAGTCATGAACTTTCGCCAATTAAGGCATCTTATTATGGTTAAAGTTACTTCTGTGTTACAGGATTCCTCTAACAGTCCAAGAAAGAATTCTATAATATACAGCATTTGTGTATGAACAACAAGGGTTGGAGCCCAATGGTTTCAAAACAGACACATATCCATATACATGACATATACACGTATATGCATAAGTAAATACACGCAATATATATATGTGTGTGTGTGTGTGTGTGTGTGTGTGTGTGTGTGTGTGTGTGTGTGCGCGCGCGTGTGTACACATATATGTATATATGTGTGTGTGTATACTGTATATGTGTATGTATATATTTATTCCTATATATGCATATATGTGTGTGTTTGCGTAATATATATAAATATATATATATATGTATATATATATATATATATATATATATATATATATATATATATATATATATATATATGATTGTGTATATATATATATATGCACATATACATATATATATATATATATATATATATATATATATATATATATATATATATATATATATATATATATGATTGTGTGTGTGTATATATATATATATATATATATATATATATATATATATATATATATATATATATATATATATACATACACAAACACACACACATACACACACACACACTATATATATATATATATATATATATATATATATATATATATATATATATATATATATATATATATATATATGTATGTATGTATACATATGTGTGTGTGTGTGTGTGTCTATATATATATATATATATATATATATATATATATATATATATATATATATATATATATATGTATGCATAGGTAGATAGATGGATAGAAAGATATAGACTGATTGATTTATTCATTGATTTATATATTTACTTATTTATTACTAACCACACCTAAACATTTATAGTCATCGTCCCTCTTACGTCCGTGTGCCTTATATAAATTTCTCTGCAATACGTAACACTTGAATTACTTTTTCTTGAGAGCACGTGCATGTTAAGTGGCTGGCGAATGTGGCGAATGTGCCAAGAGTATTGTTGAAGGGTTTTCTATTAGCTTTGTCTTCTATAGTCCTTACAGATAATAGGTAAGCATTGCAAACTTGCACTGTTGAAAGATGGTTGCAAAGACCTTCAGTACATAGTCTTTAGTAGAATTGTTGCAGATGGTAAGCGTGTTCTCGGGTGATTTATGAAGAATTTTGACATGATAGGAAAGGAAATCTATTGACTCCTATTACCAGAAATTTTTCGAGATACCCGAATACCCAAATACCCGAAAAAATACCCTAGTCATACCCTAGTCATAACCTAGTCATAACCTAGTCATAACCTAGTCATAACCTAGTCATGAAGTAGGTCCCAGGCTCGCTCTAACCCCTTTGGAGAAGGTAAAGTCAACAAACTGATTTTTTGGTATACGAGAACTGCTTTTTGACTAATAACTTCACTTGCATTAAATGACCTTCATATAAGCGGCAGGAATAAAGAGTAGTGAAGTTTATTCTCTCACACCGGTCCATAGTGTTGCTCCCATAGGTGAATGGTGCAGTGGTATCTGTGTGTGAGGGTAGTAGTGAGAGAGAGGGATTTATCAATGCTGTTATTGTCATGACAGTCATCTTAATGTATTCTGGATAATTACCAGTATACTTTTATTGTAGCTCACTGGGCTAATTTGCAGATTTTGTCCTTAAAACTGCATAGAGGATGTAGTATTACTTTATTTTTTAGACTGTTTTGCACTAAAAAGTATGGACAAGCCTCTCTTTCACTCAGGGATCACATCATAGCATCAGCCTTGAAGTCTAGTCCGCACCTTCTTTTCGAAACTGTTCCTTTATCGCCTCTGTTTTCTAGCTTCTGCAGATTATTTTAAGTAAGTGTACTTTATTTTGACACTATTAAGATCTCAAAATTTTAGTGGTTAAGAGTCCAAATCACCTTATAAGTTTTGATAATATAGCCATTACTACTATTATAGTAAAACTTCTTTATTTGTTTTTATGCAGTTAGACCTTTCACAGCAGGATGGGGTGAGAGACTTTGCTTTGGATGCTTTATTTGACTACTGTTAATTGAATTTAATTAGTAAATATTTGTTGATCTCTGCCATTGCCATTGCAGTAACTGGACACTGACATAATCATGTTTGTTGCAACATGAAACAACTTTTATATTTGCAAAATGTAATGGGAATGTCATAGATGAAAAGTTTTACAATTTTAATTGATCTGTTGATTACATCTCATGTTTACTTTGTAGTCTGTGTTTCACTGAAGTTCAAATTTTATCAGAATATCCAGTTATAGTTTTTAGTTATATGTTAATTTTGTTAGCTGGGAAGGGCACAAATAATAGTAGGGATATTGGAGGGTAAAATCACATGAATGCAGTTTAATTCACTTCAAAGTAATGAGATTTTTTAAAGCAAGCTTGTATTTATTTTATTAAGAACTCTTTCATCTGTTTATCACAACTGAATGTTTACTGTGGTAATCAGATTGCCACCAGGCACTCCCAACTTCTCTGGATGCTTTCTGTCAGCTTAACATAACTGCTTACTAGGTGATAAATATTCACTCACAGCAGTGGACAGTAGCATATTTTAGCTAGATGAAATGGTTAGGCAAGAACCAGCAGATAAGCCTTAGAACCAGTTCTCAACTTTTAAATAAATATTCACTCACAGCAGTGGACAGTAGCATATTTTAGCTAGATGAAATGGTTAGGCAAGAACCAGCAGATAAGCCTTAGAACCAGTTCTCAACTTTTCACATACTGGTGTAATAGGTAGTCATTAGTCTCATTAGTTTCATGGCTGAAACTTAATCAGAACCTGTGGATCAGCTTTGCAGAACAGCCAGGCTTTATTTCTAAACAGCTTATAACCTTATATGGGCTTTATCTGTAAAGCCCATGTAAGGTTCCATTTTTAAGGGTGTCTAGACAATTTTTAGCGAAGTTTTGCTATGCAAGATCATTGTCAGAGTTCAGGGGAAGGAGATTAGCCTCCAAGCAGAACCCCACAGTTGTTAGTTGTTTTATGTCCCTATTACATAAAAGTTTATTATTACTTCGCAATTTCCTTGGTATATTTCATGCTCTTACCAACTATCACAAAGAGTCAAAGATGAAAATATCTTGGGAAAAATTGTACAATGATAATTTATGCTTTTCTGTACTCTGGAGAATAATGATCACTTTTGAAGGTTTGTTCTTGTATTGTGTCTTTGAAATTTCATATTGTCCATGCATATTGAAAGCAGGGGTTTAATAAATATGCAAAAGAACAAATATATATAGAGATACATAAATAGGTTGTGGTGGATGTTCTTTAATTTCTTTTCATATATATTCATAGTATGTAATGCTACTTATCATTTTATCAGAATTAGATAAATATTCACTCACAGCAGTGGACAGTAGCATATTTTAGCTAGATGAAATGGTTAGGCAAGAACCAGCAGATAAGCCTTAGAACCAGTTCTCAACTTTTCACATACTGGTGTAATAGGTAGTCACACCAAGCTCGAGTGTAGACGTCAAGTGTGGGGAGACTAGTATAGGTGGAACCAATTCTACCTAAGCCTTTCTGATAAAATGTTTTTATTTGCTTTTGTGGAGGTAGAGCAATAAGGTTGCTTTTTCTTCTCATTAGTTTCATGGCTGAAACTTAATCAGAACCTGTGGATCAGCTTTGCAGAACAGCCAGGCTTTATTTCTAAACAGCTTATAACCTTATATGGGCTTTATCTGTAAAGCCCATGTAAGGTTCCATTTTTAAGGGTGTCTAGACAATTTTTAGCGAAGTTTTGCTATGCAAGATCATTGTCAGAGTTCAGGGGAAGGAGATTAGCCTCCAAGCAGAACCCCACAGTTGTTAGTTGTTTTATGTCCCTATTACATAAAAGTTTATTATTACTTCGCAATTTCCTTGGTATATTTCATGCTCTTACCAACTATCACAAAGAGTCAAAGATGAAAATATCTTGGGAAAAATTGTACAATGATAATTTATGCTTTTCTGTACTCTGGAGAATAATGATCACTTTTGAAGGTTTGTTCTTGTATTGTGTCTTTGAAATTTCATATTGTCCATGCATATTGAAAGCAGGGGTTTAATAAATATGCAAAAGAACAAATATATATAGAGATACATAAATAGGTTGTGGTGGATGTTCTTTATTTTCTTTTCATATATATTCATAGTATGTAATGCTACTTATCATTTTATCAGAATTAGATTTGTTTTCAAGTTTATATTGTCTTATTTTTTTTTAACTAACATTTTTTTTGTGTTGTGCCTGGTTTTGTTCTCTAAAAATGTGGTGAAATTAAGGTATAGATAAAAATACATATTATAGTGAAATCAAGCTGGGAAAATCTCATTACCTTTGCTTATAATCTTAGTGTAAAAGAGAGAGAAAAGCATTCAAAAGAAGTATATCACAATCAGGAAAACTATCACTCAAGAAGAAACCATGATTAGCTGTAGTAAGGTGGACAGCTTATAGAATGTAGTGTTAGTTGAAGGACTGGAAGATTATACCTAGTCTTGTTTGCCTTGTCTGACTGTGGAGTGTCATTTTTAGTTCTCGTGTTATATCAGGTCATCAAAGTAAGTGCAGGTGCATTGAAACTAATTATAATTTCTTTACAGGGAATGCTTTCTTTAGTATCACCAGCCTTTGTGGCTGCAATAGCAGCCCCATACCCTGGTGCAGCCATTGGGGGTTACATTACTAGTAGGAATATGAAGAACTGGTATATGACAGTAGGTATTTTACAATATTTTCCATTTCTTTCATCAGTATTTATTTTTTTAATGCATATTTATATTTAAAGAAAAATATTAGTGATTGCATTTTGCCTTTGTCTTTTAAAGTAAACTGATTTTGTGGGTGTGGGTGCACATGCATGCATGTATAAGCATATATGTATATACATATATGGATGTACACAAATGGACACCAATAGTTATTTCCTAGAAGGGGGAAAAAATAAAACGAAGATCATCTGAAAATTTTCAATACTGCTTCCCAGAAACTACGTAAACCCTGGTGGCGTCCTCCAAATTATATGTTTGGCCCAGTATGGACTGTCCTGTATAGCAGCATGGGCTATGCTTCATATCTAGTTTATCGTGATGGAGGGGGTTGGAAAGGAGCAGCTCGCCTACCTCTTTTACTCTACGGATCCCAGCTTGCTCTTAATTGGGCATGGACACCCTTGTTCTTTGGGAAAAAGTGGTTGGGTTGGGTATGTATAACCTTGATTTTCAAGCATTTCATAAAAGTTTTAAGGTTTCATGATTGTACAGGAATCTATTTTAGTCTGGAGTTTCCAAATTAATGTTGTTACAATGATGCAGTAATATCCACAGTTCATGGTATTAGTTCCAGGTATCTAAATTCTAAAATTTCCTTCCATAACTAATATCCTTTTTCCAGTAATCCCAGTCTTCACTTGAAACAATTATTTTGTGTAGTTAATAGTATACATTTATATTTTCCTACATGTATTTTGATGCATTTCTACCATTCCATTTGTTGCAGGCTTGTATTGAGCTGGTGGCTCTTAACATCAACATTGCTGCATGTATCTGGACATTTGGAGATATCAACATCACAGCGTCTTATCTCATGCTTCCTTATCTCGCCTGGGGCTTATTTGCCACAGGTTTAAATTACTGGATCTATGATAATAACAAGGATGGGAAGCACCTGCAGGTCAGAAGCCAGAAAAAGGAATTGTCATCCCCTTAGAATGCAATGTTTGTATTTACAAGACTCTTGTGCTAGAGAGTCGTAGTTTCAGAAATAAATGTACCATGTTAATACATTTTTTTTTTTTCTTCTTTTTTTTTTTGTGTGTGTAAATATGTTTCGGGACAAAGTAAATAATATGTACATATTCTTTTTATTCCAGTCCTGTTTATGTTATAGGATGTATATTTGTTATAGAATGTATACTACTTTCATAATTCATACTGTGAGAGAAATGTCTGAAGGACGGTTTGCATTCAAATGAATCTTCCTTTCATAAGGATTCGTAGAATTTAATGTATCTCACTTATAAATGTTTATTTAAATACAATGAAAAAACTCACTTAGTTTTATTAATGACTTAAAAGAATATCCACAAAATACAGTAACAACAGATTACAAGGAGACATTTTATAAAACCGATTAATTTACAATATTGGTTATGTAGTTGAAAAAAGTACATTAGGCTATTCTTTATTTCAAACAAATAAATACCCAGAATATTTGTATGAAAATAAGAAGCTACACATGTCTATGGAACAAATTGGAGATAACAGAAATCCTGTGATGTTAACAATATGCGACATTATTATAATCAACTGTCATTTAACAGTCTAGTACAGATTTTAAAATCATTATAAATATTTCCTACGATATAATGGACTTGGATATCACATACATGGTGGTTGACGGTACTGGCTGTATCTTACAAAGTAAGATATCATGAAAATAGGGAATATAAAATTAAACTTTTATCTTCAAAATTTAGTCCTTTTATTAAACCGATTCTGGTCTTACTCGAATCTGTAAATCAAATCATCCAAGATAAAAGTATGTTCTTAATGCTAAACTTGGCTTCACTCCTAAGCATCATACACTTCAATCCATGAAATAGGGCTGTCCATTTTTTTCTCTTCGTCGAGTCAGAACTTCAACACCAATGTCAGTCACCAGCAAAGTCTCTTCGAACTGGGCAGAAAGCTTCCCATCTGCAGTTACTGCTGTCCAGTCATCTGGCCACTGCTCATCTTTCCAAGTGCCTAGAAATACAGTTCACAAATGGATGATAAAGAAAAGCAGTGTGTACATTTAATGGTATGTTAACAATACGTATGTTAACAAATATGTTAACACAATAGGATTTCCCTGTGCAATGCCAAACCTCTTGAGTGAAAAATAAGAAAAGTGGGAAACGTACATTTGCTATCTATGCTCTTGGCACCAGCATAAATAATTTTTAAGGAAATGAGGATAAAAAGAACCTTAACCCCTTGGTGCCGGGTCACGCCGATAAGCGAGTAAACAAAGCGCTCGAAAGCTGGCGTGCAGCCAAACGAGCCGGCGGCGAGCCAGTGATTCGGGTTGACGTCCTGTACTCGCGTGCTCAAAGTCGGCGTGCCACCTTTGTTTGCTAGAGCGTAGAGTTTTTTTTTTTTCTTTTGTACACCCGGCGCCATTGGGTTAAAGCCAGTGCCAAGCAAGCATACAAATGTTAATACATACAACTTGGCACTGGCTTAATTGTATATGACATAATTAGACATCTTGCATGAGTTAAAAGTGATTGATAAAGGTGCTCCCCTTATTATAAAATGAAACTTACTACTTACTATGTGAGAATGTATTGTCATACACAGAAACTGAAAATTATAGTAATCATCAATACTTAAACATTTTCCAGAATGACATACCTTCTGATATCATTGGTTCAATGGTAAAAGTATGACCTGGCTTCATAACTCCAACAGCTTTGTTTTCTGAAAAGAGAAATGTTTATACAATTTTAATTCTACCCTTAAAATCACAAAGCCACAAGCACACATAATACACACTCTTTCTCAGGCTTGCTTGTTTTCACTTATTTGTTTCCTCTTACATCCTTTCTCTATTCACTCACACTTGCAAACTTCTTACTCTTACTCATTTCCACTTAATTTCTAACACTCACTCACTTCCCTTCATTTCCCCTTATATCTGCTCACTGTTAAAAAAAAAGAAGAAGAAAGGAAAGAAAAAATACTCACTAGCATAATGCGGAACAGAAGGTGCTGTGTGGAACAGCTGGTGGATGCCGTGGCCACAGTAAGAACGCACAACTGAAAACCCATGAGAGTGGGCATGCTTTTGAATAACAGCACCAATGTCTCGGTACTTCACCCCTGGCTCAACTGAAATTGGAAGTACAGTAAGTTTTAGAGAAATCAGTTATTTAGTAAGACCATATACATAAAGATTGGAAACTTTAATTTTTTGTGCTTTTTAGTTACAGTTCTCTGAGGCAGATGGCATTGCTATGGTGTAAATGTCATTACTGAAATGTCAATCTTGAGGAATTTAATTTAAACTTTTTTACTAATCAATTTCTATTTCATTTGATTTTGGTTTACACTACATGATCTGTAAACATACATACACATTAATTTCTACATATGTGGTAAAACAGAATGGTCATCAATTCAAAATCATAATTAAAAGAAGAAAATCTGAAGTTGCAGAAAGAAATAGCAAACACAAATCAGAATATTTAGTTGTGGTCCTCGATGACCGACCACAAAGATTTAAGCCACACTGCATTTGATTTCTTTTCAATTGCTGTTATAGGAAGTGTCCTAATTTTGGTAAACAGTCTTTGGTTAATCATAGTTAATAATCAAATATGACCCACCAACTGATAGTATCAATAGGATATACCTAAGGAGACTCAACCAAGTACCTTTTTAAATCTCTCTTATTCTCCCTACTATTTTACTTCAGTACTTACCAATTTCAATAGCCTTCTGAAGGCACTCCCAAGTAGTTTTAACAAGGGTTTTAGCTGTCTTGTTTGCTTCACCAATAAATAAAGTTTCATTCAAGTCACCATGGAAATCACGATGGTATACAGTCACATCAACTGCAAAAAAGAAAAGAAAAGATTTCAGCTTCGGCAAAATAAAAAAAAATTATTTCCTTCCTTTCTCATTGGTCATGTGTATTTATAATAAAAACATCATGGGCATCTATTTTTATAACCCATTATCCAAATCAGTTACAAAATCAAACCTCATATTTCTATATATTTATCTGTAAATGGTATAGCAGTCCACATATGAAATAACAGACTAAAGACTCAAATGAAGCCTAAGTATATAAGGTATTACATAAAGTAAGACTACTCCTATTGTAGTTCTTCAAAAAGTAAAAAGAAAAATCAAAAGAACAAAATGTTTGTAAACTTTGATTCTACTGACTAGAAATAAACCTATTTTTAATTGTTATGATATATAACATATACTTGCACATTCCAAGCAAAATAAAATTATTCATGGATATGTCACATAGCTGATTCATGTCATCCTTTTTGGAACTTACAGTGTCCACTTACTAAAAATGACATTTAACCGGTGTAATGGTAAGACATTAAATACGTTTTCCTTAATCATTTACTATGAGTCACTGACAAAGAAAAATTTATACTAACTGTTGCAGATATCTCCATTTTGCAATGGCCTCATATCGGGAATTCCGTGACAGATGACCTCGTTGATGGATGTGCAACATGACTTGGGAAAGCCATGATAGTTGAGAGGAGAAGGGTAACATTCTCTGTCAATAGCTGCTTCGTGTATGACCCGATCAATTTCATCAGTTGTCACTCCTACCCCGGAAACCTTTACCCCCTCGTCTAACACTTCACGTGCAAGCTGTAAAGGAATTTGAAAACTACCATTAATGTATGTATCATTTTCCCTTATACATTCCAACTCCTCATGAAGCTCATACTCACAGATTTCTTTCCTAAGAATTATTAACATTTAGCCATTCTCCATCCAGCACCTGAGATGTCTTTAAAAAGTATGGTGTGGATAATATTCAACCATGTTATTTCAAAGAACTTAGCTTATAATTGTCCTTATACAATACAATATACATTAGCTGAATGAAAATAAGTACCTTGCATGCTACTCTCATTCCCTCAATTTCCTCATCAGAAAGGCACTTTATACTGGTGGATCCTCGCAATTTCTGTTCTGAGTGTGGAAAGCCATTCGGGTCATCCGCGTAATCTGGTCTGCCTATTGTTCTTGGAACTTCTCTTTTGGCACTTTTTAGATATGGACGTAAACTGCCTGTAAATGAAAAAGATGTAAAGTATTTTCTTTTTATTGAGCTCTTTGAATATATTCTTCATTAATATGCTTCATATAAGGCCATTTGAGTATACAATGCTGCGGTTGGCCTACTATAGGGCTTATGCCCCCCTAACTATCAGTTCCTAAAATTGTATTTGCAAATTACCAATGGCCAAGACCACTAGGGACTCATATCCCCAAAACAAACAATTATGACCAAGTTATTGTAGAATTATGACCATGTCATTGACAGCACAGTCATTCAAAAATATATATAAATGATAACTCAAATTACATCTTAATAACAGATTTCTTTCCCTCATTTTTTTGTTTATCATCATCAGATAGTTTCACATTATTTAATTTCTTGCATCACTTTCCAATTAATCCGTTATTTCATGCCTAACTAATGCATAATATCTCTTAAAAGTAGGTTTAGTAAATGAAACAGCTATAACTCTTGTAAAGGGAAAGTGTAGACTAGGTGGCTCTTAACCTGGGGGAACAAGCCCTTGGGGAAAAAGCATGGATTTCTTTTACTTTATTTGTTATTCTCATAACAAGAGCATGGTCAAGTAATAAGAAGTTTAACAATAATGTGATTTGTTCATACTCAATCCTTGGAACATAATTATAATTTTCTTTGAAATATTTTATTTACAGATGCAAGGGGGCATGGAGGGAAGGACAAATTCCTTGAGATGGTGTGGTAGTAAAGGTTAAGAAAAAATGGACTAAGTGGCTTTGAACATTAGTTTCATAACCTTCATGTGCTAGAAACAGTTCAGCAATCACAACTGCTTGAAACGAAGTGATATTTGACCCAACTTTTTTTTTTTTTTTTTTTTTTTTTTTTTTTTCCACCAGTGGACCTACTGGAAGCCGTAAAGAAGAAAATTACATATCTGATTCTTTCAAAATTTCAAGTTCAAGAAGGCTAAGGAACATATATTTATGATTAACTGATAACATCCATTGTACTTACCTGTGAACATGTAATACGGCCAAGGATTGTACTGTGTCGAGCTGGAATCTGATGATCCTGTGGAAAGAAATCAATCCTAAGTACACATACACTAGAAAGTTTAACAATGATAACTATAATATTTAAGCATTACCAATATACATAGATTGCCAAAATATTCCTTGAAAAACATGTTCCATTAAAAGTAACCAATTCACAAGTTTCATATAAAACCAGACACCCACAGAATCACCGAAGTGTAAATGTCATCTTTCATATTGACTCTGGAATTAACTGTGGAAAGGATTACAGCTTCCATATATAGCTTAACTAGTGTATTTACCTAAGTAGATCATCAAACCTAGTATGCTCATTATTTTCTGTTCTTATGACATAAATGGACCTCTAGGGGGTTCACATTCTTTACTTAGGTAGGGGGAGGGTGACTGTGGCAAATAAAGCGCCAATTTTCTCTCGTCTTTTCCAGTTAAAAATAATGGTTGAGATATTACAAGCCTCAGGGTAGCAGGTCTCCACTCACATTCCCTACCTTTGCAATATACAGCTGTCATGCTGTGAACAAGGGGTCAAAGACAGTACAATATTCCAACTATGGTTACTTACTTGTCTTCTTGTGAAGTAATTTATGTACTTCCCATGAACTTTTGAAGCATGTCTGAAATATAGAAAGAAAAAAAATGTATTAGATATACACATTCTAGATAAGTCTAAAAGCCAAATGAATTTTCCTACTTATACAATTAACCACCAACTATGCATTGCTTTAACCCTCTGGTACTTGTCAATGTCCCAAACATCTGAATAAGGTCCCACACCGTGAGCCAGATAGTTGTCCTAATAGAGAGCAGCACACACAAAACAACTGTCCTTCCGACTTTAATAAAATTTTTACTCATTGTTATAGGGTGAAAGCAGACTGAAATATGAAATGGTGCAAGAAAATTCTTTGCTGACATTCCTATATATATATATATATAGCTTATTAACCACAACAGTGTACACACAATATCAATTACCAAAGTATATGTTTCTGGCCACTACTGGTCTGTGATCACAATACTGTTTTTAACCTCTGATTGCATGAAACAACTAATTGCAATTCTAATCTATTATACACAATGCACAATGGGACTATAAGCCCTCTATCATGTTTTGCTCAGATGCTGCTGCAGTCTATGTACAGAGTGACAGGCTGATCATGAAAATTGATTCTTCTGACTGATATATACATGTTCAGTGCATCTTCTTGCACAATAACATAATGAATCCTTCTGAGAGAGAAACTGGTTTTCAGGTAACCTCATACTAATAAAACTTTATAGTAAACTATGAGTAGTTAACCTGCATGAAAAAACTGTTATATTTCACATTGTTCATAAACAAAGCTACAGTTTTCATACTTTTTACAGTTAATTATTGAATCCCCATTGTCATTCCTAACAACAACAGATTAGCACTCACTTTTTTGCTACTTAAGATGCAAGTAAATCTTTAAAGCATGGAAGCACTTACCAGAGACCTAATCTTCAACTACTGTCACAAAAGCTCTTCAACAATCTAAGTTGCTGTGGTTGAGCATGCCCAAAGCCCAAGGGGAGGATTGATGGCAAATATTGTTTTTAGCTTGGTAGATTTAATAGAGCAGAACAGAGCTGAAACTCATGAGCACCAAGGGGACTCAGATTGTGAGGAGCACTTTCTGCAATATTTTTCCTATATTTGTAGTGATGCCCTTCATGTCTGCAGATTATTTAGCGTACCAATGGCTGCTTCTATTTGTTCACTACAAGAATATCAATAATTTGCCCTAACTTAGTGCATCAATACCATACAGGGCAGGAAATTGTAATAGCTGGTACAAGAAACAATATGCAGACATGAACATTAATGCTACAAATAAAGAAAAAGATCATGGAAAGCACTATTCATAGCCGCACTCCACAGTTCCTACATACCAAGATGAAGACAATGTTTGAAAGAGGTGTTGATGGGAACCCCCACCAAACCTCCCCGTCAGGCAGTGTAGGGCTGTAAAAACTATGAGATGGAGTTTCACACTTAGTCTCTGAGGAGTGTAGTTGTATTGTAAAGAATTACCAAAGTATTCAGGCTACACATACACAAATAAAATTCTAATACAGTTTTGATTGCTGAGCACTTCAGCAAAGACAAGAATCCTCTACTATGTATACTCTAACAAGACAGACTGAACTAGTTTCATATCTGATAATGAATCACAACGGAATACAAGGTCTAACTTGCCAGTGAAATACAGAGGTTCTCAGATTCTGAAAGGTAATTACGTTTATCTTTGCTTTATACAGAATAATCATTCCTAAATATCCCTTTGCTTTATCCAAATTACTTATACAGGTTAATGTTACTGAGAGTGACACGCACAGTTAGAGGGAAATGGAAACCACCATCTTTAGAAGCATAAGAAATAAGGTCATCAGCAACACAGGTACAGTTGCTGCGGCCTCATACTTACAGCAAAATGAAAAAATATCTGTTGCATATTGCCGCTTAGTTAAAAAAATAAATAAATAACTTCCTGAATTTTTTTATATATGCATTAAACAAGTTGGCATGCTGTGCTAATAAAACGGGGGTGCAGTAGGGGGTTGCTTATACAGAATAATCATTCCTAAATATCCCTTTGCTTTATCCAAATTACTTATACAGGTTAATGTTACTGAGAGTGACACGCACAGTTAGAGGGAAATGGAAACCACCATCTTTAGAAGCATAAGAAATAAGGTCATCAGCAACACAGGTACAGTTGCTGCGGCCTCATATTTACAGCAAAATGAAAAAATATCTGTTGCATATTGCCGCTAAGTTAAAAAAAATAAATAAATAACTTCCTGAATTTTTTATATATGCATTAAACAAGTTGGCATGCTGTGCTAATAAAACGGGGGTGCAGTAGAGTGGGGTTTGCCTCTTAGGGACTTCCTCCCTGGAGGGAGAGTCGCTCTTGTTAACAAATACCCTTACACCAAACTGTTTAGATAGAGGCCTGTGAATGCACTCTCTTACTTTACATGGAAAAATACATGCTATGATAGTTAGTAGCTAAATACATAAACCACAGGGTCTATAGCATTACTTGTTAAGGCCTTGTCCTGAAAGAATTACCAAAATTGATCATGAGATATGTGAGAACCACCAAAAATTAAAACCGTGAATATTAAACAAATGAATAAATGAATATCCTAACAACCCCTATACACATCATGGATCAAACATACTCCTTCCTTCCTTCTACAGCATAATTCAGCAATGCTTTTCAGTCCTATAAAAATAACTCAGGACATGTGACAAACCGCATGACCAGCCAGCTACCCTCTGCTGACCGTGAGTTTATATCCATCCCCCATACTCCAGACCTCACAACTCCAAATAGCGTGAAACAAGAGAAAAAGAATCTCAGCTTATAATCCTCCCACGTTACTGAACGAGTAACAAGAGCCAGGAAAAGGATTAGCATTCCAAGACCCCGACGCGAGAACCGGGACTCGCTTTCAAAATCAAAACAATTACACTTCCTTCAAAAAAAAACCACCTGTGAGCAAAAGAAGGAGCCATCAATTCCCAGTTTGATGCACGTTGGACACTGGAGCTTTGCCTCCTCGGAACACCCCGAAGTCTGGCAAACATGCGTCTCTATTCCGGCGGCCGACATCTTTGTTTTCATACAGGAGGCGGAGGACTACGGGCCTATCGCCAATTTCGGTCAGGGCGAGAGTATTTTTTTTTCAACGTAATGTTATTTTTCTTAAAATAAGATAAATATCCATAGTAGTGATGATTATATTTGAGAAATTATAGAGCTTGGAATTCTTATTATTTCACGATATTATTCATCAGTTATAAATGAATTCACGAAATAATATGTAGATTCAAATATATGAATGATGAATGAACAAAACATAAATTATTATTATTACTGTTATTATTATTATTATCATTATCATTACTACTATTGTTATCAATAATTTGTTATTATTATCATCATCATTATTATTATCATTATCGTTATCATTATTACCAATATTATCATTATTACCAATATTATCATTGCTATTACCGTTACCATTACTATTACTATTACCATTACCATTAATATTACTATTACCATTACCATTTCCATTAATATTACTATTGTTAGCGTTACTATTAATAGTAGCAGTAGTAGTACTATTATTTATCTAATTATATCATTATTATCATTATTACTATCATTATTATCATTATTGCCATCATCATCACATTAACACCCTCATTATCATTATCATTATTACTATTACTATTTTTATAGTTATTGTTATCACAATCATATAATCGATATGATTATGATTACCATTATCATAATCATTAATATTCCACAGCCATTCATTCCACTGCAGGACTTGGGCCTCAATTAATTTTAGTTGAGGTTGTTTAGCTTGATAATAACAATGATAACATCAGTAAACTAGAAAAGCACTCAGAGAGTGCAGACCTCCGCCAAGGTGCGTATATAATACATATACTTCGGATGTACTTACACCGCTGCTGCGTCCAGACGGTAATTCGGAATGTCACCAAAATTTAATCAGTTCTAAGTTAGTCCCTTTTTGACTTGTCCCCAAAATTTCGATGAAATCCGGCCAGCACTTTTTGAGTTACGCTGCTAACAAACAAACAAACAAACCAAAAAACCAACGACGTCAAAAACATAACCTCCTTGGCGGAGGTAATAATAATAACCAATGTTATATTGATAACATTAATAATAATAATGATAATGATATGAATAATGCTAATCATGATTTAAATAATGCTAATAATAATATTAATGACAATAATTTAATCGTTACTATTATCATTGCTGTTGATATCATAATCTTATCATTATTATTGCTGTCATTATTATTAACAATAATAATAATAATAATGATACTAATAATGATGATGATCATGACAATGATGAAGATAATGTTGATAATAATAATAATAATAATAATAATAATAATAATGGCAATAATAATAATTGTTATAATAATGATAATACTAATTAAATGATAATAATGGTGATAATCGTGACAAGAATAAGAATACCATCAATAATAATAATAATTGCAATAATAATAATATGAGATGCAGGGAGGAGGGTCATCGTCCCTCCCTCTCTGCAAGTGAAGTGGGGGCAGTGGTGCCTGAGCCCAAGGGGTGGGGGCTCCTTGCGGTAGGATGATCAAGTGCCATTGCTATCGAGGGACTTAAAGTGGATGAAAGCTAAAGTTGCTGACTTCTTAGAGGTGACCCAGCAATGACAAGATTAGTCTGGGTCGATACACTTATTACTGGTCGATCCATGGCGATGGTCACTATCTTCGAGGTTTAACCATCTTCAGCAGATTCAGTAGTGCAGTCGATAAGTGCAAACTGTATGGAGATTAAGCATGCATTTGTAAGTAAAATGCATGTAGACTATACTGTGTACACTCCTATCGATGTATGTAAATTCGATTTGAAAAAGGTGCTTTTTGCTGAACTCGCACCATGGCAGATAACTGACCTCGGCGAAATGTCCGCTTTGTTCTGAGTGACTTCAATGCAGTATATGGTTGTAAGCGAACTGGCTACTAGATGCGTGTCAGCCTCGGTGGTTCTGGAACTGAAACAAGCAGTGAGAGTAGCCAGAGATCCTCACTCTACGAGACTTTGTTAGAGATTGAGGATTTCTAGCTTCTTGTACCAGCACTCCAACCAGCAGTCCTGGACACAGTACAGCAATACCTAGGACCTGCAGGATCCTCCAGAACTGCAGGGTTTACGGAGTGCCGAGTTCTGTGTTGCAGAGCATAGATTGTAGTCTATTTGAGTCCATTTCAAAACACCCTGTCTGTCCACTGTTCACTCAAGGTGTTTCACTTGGACAAGTTGAGGGAAAGAGATCGTTTTGCGGCACTCGACAACTTGACGAAGCCTGCGGCACCGTAGAGATCCTGCAAAAACAAAATGCTTGATTCAGATCGGGAGTCTATTGAAGACCGCCTAAAAATAAGGCAGAATTTTATTTCCCAGGAGATATTAGAGGCTACAGACGCCTGTCACGCAGCTCAAGTGACTGATCAGGACTAGTAAGTAGGACTCGGAGAAGGGACAAGGAACAGCATATTAGAAACCTTGCTGTGGAGGTTGAAGGCCATGAAGGACTTTTATCCCTCCTACCAATCGCCGGAGAAAACGGAACTAAAAACTTCTACACAAACGATGGTTGCAGTCCACCCTACAGATGACTGGGCTATCTCAGTTCATGTTGGGGTGCGTGAGCGTTGGTCTGAGTACTCTGGGCTGTTGTATCAGGGTAGACCCACCGATAGTTCGCTTGGGCATGAGTGGTTTGCATGATTGCCAGACCCGCCTAGCCGTGAGCAACCTCATAGCCTAGCAGGAGTTTGGAAGGCGTTCTCCAAGCTGGGGGGAGGGGGGGGGGTAAAACAGTGGGCATCTGAGGCATCCCTGCTAAACTGTTAAAGTGAACCTATGGTGAGGGAAGGAATTGCACGCAGTCCTGACTGCCATCTGGTAGACCAGTACCATTCCCCTGGACAAGTAGTCATCCATTTCTGGAAGAGGAAAGGGGATTATTGGAATTGCATCAGTACCCGAGACATTACATTACTCAGCATACATACAAGGCAAGGTTTTCACTCTAACCCTTCTTACACTTAACAGAGACCACCTACAGAGACCATCTTTGCTCATAGTAAGTCCACAATACCTGGATTGCGTGCGTTTGGAGTCACTGTAGAATGGTATGTTTGGCCATGGGTTACTTATAGCCTACATCCACTTCAAAGAGGTAACTAATTTTGCTGATGATGCCATCCTGCCTGAATATCCCTAATGGCAGCTCTTAATGCATTTAATATCGAGGCGAAGCCCTTCGGTCTTAGGGGGCATTTGGACTAAGACCAAGATCCAAGATTTTGGGAGTCTGCTATGAGAAGCTATCAAGTTGGCACATGCCCGTTGCGAGGATATCGAAGTCACACAGCATTACATATCGGGAATCAGGTGCCAAGATCTCATTTGACAAGAGTATTTGGAGATACCCGTTATTAATATTGTCATTGTTATTACCATTATTTGTTTACCGGAGATATTACCACTATATGTTATTACCACTATTTGTTCATTGTTGATATCATTATCATTACTCTTAGTAGTATCATTAATGATGATAACAATATTATTATTATTATCATTAATGATGATAACATTATTATTACTGATATTAATAATAATAATAATAATATTACAATTTTTTGTTGTTATTAACATTATTTCAATTACTATCATTATTATTATTATTATTATTAGTGTTATTTTATCATCATCATCATTACTGACATTGATATGATTGTTATTATCATTATTATTATTATTATTGCTCTTATTATTCTTACCATTATTATTATCATTATCATTGTTAATGTCATTATTATCAACATTATTATCATTATTGTATTTCTATTATCATTATTATGATTATTATCATTATCATTGAATTCTTATTATCATTATTGTATTTTCATTATTATTATTATGATTATTATCATTATTATCAATATTATTGTCATCATAATCATCATCATTATTATTCCTGCTAATATTATTATTATATCATCATTACTATCATTATCATTATTGTTATATCAGTAGCATCATTATTATTATCATCATTCTTGTATTACTATTATTATTATCAATATTATTGTCATCATCATCATCACTATTATTATCATTATATCATTATTATTATTATTGCCATTATTATTATTATTATTGCTATTGTTGTTATTGTTAATATCACTATCATTATTACTGTTATTATTTATATCATCATTAATAATAATAACAATAATAATAATAATAATAGCATTATTATTATCATCGGTATTAATATTATCATCATTATTATTACTATTATAAAAATAATCATTATTTTGTATTAATATTGTTGTTATTATCTTAATTCTTTCATTATTATTATTGTTATTATTGTCTATAAGTTGTTATTGTTATTATCATTATCATTACTGTTATTATTATCACCATTATCATTATTATTTTATTGTCATTATCATAATCATTATTGTCATTATCAATATCATCATTAAAAAGACTATGATAAATGATAAATAAAAGGTCGAGGGAAAACTTGGGAGTCACAATACCACGATATTGATACAATAATAATGCCACAGACCATTCCATACTATCGCTGGCATACCCATCCTTCAGATCATAGCCACCCCAATTTAAAAAAACAACGACTATGATAAGCCTCCTGAATCCTAAATCCCAAATCCACATAAAACAAGAGGTGGAAAGCCGAGGGAAAAAAAACTGGAATCCCAATACCTTTATTGTACAATAACAATACCACAGACCATTCCATACTATCGCTGACATACCCATCCTTCAGCTCATAATCACAATAGGGGGAAAAATATATATTAAACCTAAACCCACATAAATCGAGAGGTGGAAAGGCCAAGAGGGAAAACCTGGAGTCCCCCTTCACACAGGCCGACGACGCCGTGGGGAATCGACGCCGACCTTGTGCGAGGAGGAGCCTTACAGGGAGCGAGGAGGGGGACCTTCTTTTATCTCTTCCAGGCAAGTTCTTGGGTGCTTGTGGAGCGTCGCGGTAT